CCGTGTGTGTGTGTGTGTGTGTGTGTGTGTGTGTGTGTGTGTATGTATGTATGTTTGTCTGTGTCTGTGTGTGTGTATGTGTGATACAGATCACAAACTTACTATATCCAAATCTGAGAACACAAGCTGCTTAATATCTATCTCAATGAGAACATAATGCACATGCAAGAAAATAAATACAAGAGCAAATAATGATATTTAAAATAAGCTTTCAAATACTTATTCTTATACTCATTAAATGCATTTTAGTACCTACTGTATGCTAGGCATATACCTGAAGATACAGGTATAAAACATATAGGCCTTTCTTTCTAGAAACTCAAAGTATAGTAATGGACACAGAAAAGTAAATATGCTGCATGGTAAATAGTAACACGATAAAGATGTGTGCCTTTATTTTCTGAAATCTTCTAAAAAATTTCAGAAGAGGGGCTCATACCTCATAGTGGACATTAACAATAGTCAAGGGAATGGTTGGGTACAGCAAAACTAGTCAAAAATCACATTACTAAGAGATCTGAGTTTGCATTCCAGATTGACCATAGTCTAATAAATACAAAAACATACTATGTAAGGTTCTAAAAGTAGACAGACAGGAGAATTTTGAAAGGCAGAGTTCTAGTAATTAATTGAGCAGATATCACTTATTCCCTTGTACTCTATAAGGTAACCCAATGAAGAGCGGGGATGGAAAAGTAATCAACACAACTGACTGACTTGCTGTCAGATCATTCTATCACACTCATTGTCGATCCAGTGTTGAAAACACAAATACACAAATATTTGTGAATGAGGACCTTCCAACTTCTGCTCATATTTGCAGCAAAGAGCAGAAAAGAAATGAATTCACCCATGCTTGTACTCAGCTTGATTTCTGTAGTTTCATACAATTCAAGATCTCCTGCTCAGAGAATAGTCCTATCCAAAATCAAATGGAACCTCCCGTGTGAATTAACTTCATCAAGAAAATCTCATACAGATGTGCCCACATTTTAACTTAATCTAGACAATCCCTCTTTGGGAGTTACTTCCCAAATGATTCTAGATTGTATCAAGTTGACAATTAAAGCCATTCATCACAGCACATAATTATATATAAGTTGAGTGAGTCAGAGTTCGAACACAGAATAACTCATCTTAGTCCACGGTCCATTCCACTAATATTATGTGTAAGATACTACACATACAAATATGTATATATAACTTCATATGCAACACAAATATGCATTGTATATTGGTAGTGTTCAAATAGACTTAGAAAATCATAGGCTCTGTCTCCAACACTTGCTGCTTTTGAAGAGGACCCAGGTTTGGTTCCCAGTACCCATATCAGGCAACACATAATCTCCTATAACTCTAGATCCAGAGGGTCTCATATCCTCTTCTTGTCTTCCTGGGTGCCAGCCCACATACATTCAGGCGCACACACACACATATACATAAAAATTTATAACACAGGGAGAGAGAGAGAGAGAGAGAGAGAGAGAGAGAGAGAGAGAGAGAGAGAGAGAGAGAGTCTTAGTTACTGATCTATTGTTGTGAAGACACACAACAGTCAAGGTAACTTACAAAAGAAAGCATTTAATTTGGGGCTCATGATTCCCTCATGGCAGGGAGCATGGCATAGGGCACTCATAGCGTTGGAACATTATTTGAGAACTTATATTTTGCTGAGAGAGACAGACAGACCGACGGGGTGGGAGAAATTTCTAAGCAGGTGCATTGACTAGCCACTTAAGTCTTTCATTGAATCCAGATGTTTGACATCCTGGATATCCAATACCTGAATGATTCCTGGGTTTTGCTCCAGATGTCTTGAAATCTTATAATCATGGTTGAGATCTTTCTATGTCCTGGGGTTACAGTCAAAATCAACCCTGGATAACTTACTGTTACTTTTGAAAACAGTTAAGTATTTTCGAATGATGGACAATTAAAAAAAAAAAACTCATCCTGTATATAAAGAAACAGTGTCCCTTTTTTGCCAAGCCACTGTTTGTGTGGAGATATTTCCTCTCTGAGTAAACAGTAGGCACTCAGTGAGAATAGTGTGAGGCTGAGGAAAGAACACTGCTGAATAACTCAGAAAGAAAATGCTTGCACTTGCACATTATTTATTCATGTTCATTTCCCTCTTTTTCCCCTGATGTGTTGGCTTTGATCTTTTCACAGAAACACATTTTCACCTTACAAACTCTTAAACCCTACTGACAACCACTCAAATTCCCCAGGAACAGGTTTGTGGTGCATCTGAGCAGAGCTCAGAATCTTCTTTTACTAAAGCAAGGCACAAGGATAAAGGTGCATTTCTTAAAGGTTTCTGTAATACGTCCATATATAGTCATATCAAGTAAGCCATATATGTTTCCCAGATGGCAAGCCACATGTGGATATTAAATGAATCAGGTCATATTTCTACCTTCTACACTCTTCCTATTCAAAGATTTCTGAATCTCAATATTTATTTATTTACTTATTTATTTATTTATTTATTTATTTATTTATTTATTTATTTATTTATTTATTTGTGTTTCACTCTCCTATTCTACCTCATCGGTTTTGGGTATTGAACTCAAGTCTTCAAATTTGGCGGTAAGCTTCTATCCACTGAGTGGCAAGCCCTAAGTTTTGGGTTTTCATTCTCAGAACAACTTTAATATCAGTCTTCTATATCTCCTTCAAATGCTCTAAGTCTTGCTCAGATTATTTTTATTATCATTAAGAAATTTTCTATTCATTTTACATAACAACCACAGATCCCCCTCTCCTCCTCCTCCTCCAGCCTCTCCACACGCCCCCCTCCCGCCCCACAACCTAACCCCATTCCCACCTCCTCCAAGTCAAGGCCTCCTATGGGCAGTCAACAGAACCTGGTACATTCAGTTGAGGCAGGTCCAAGCCCCTCCCCCTGCACCAAGGCTGTGCTATGTGTCCCACCATAGGCACTGGGCTCCAAAAAGTCCGCTCATGCACCAGGGATAGATCCTGATACCACTGCCAGGGTATCCCCTAAACAACCATCTGTCCTATGCAGAGGGCCAAGTCCAGTCCCATGGAGGCTCCACAGCTATTGGTCCACAGTTCTTGAGTTCCCATTAGTTTAGCCTCAGTGATTCCTGGACTACTCCCACCTCCAGTAATCTCCCTAACCACTTATCTCCTGAATTCTAGGAGTGCTCCATGCTACCAATGTCTGAATGGAACTTAGGGCCTATGTATTTATGTCAGGAAGAAATTCTATTCTCATTACTGACCTTCAGTTGTGAGTCTGGTAAATGAATGCACAATAAGCTAGGAAATTAATGCAATGATAAACAGGTTTTTAACCTAGGGTCCACAGTATGATGAACCTCTTGAAACTATCTGCAAAGTTTCAGCCTATGGATTCAATTTTCTCTAGAGTTCCTCTAGTTTTCATTAGATTCTCAAAATGATCCCTGTTTGCCACATGTGTAAGGATTACATGGTCTGTAGTTTATGGCCTTATCAGGAAAGATTCTGTCTGTGCTTTGGTCTTCAGCTGAAAAGATGTGATCTGAGAACATGTTTCCTCTGGACTTCCCAGGGACCATGAAGAAAAAATGGTAATAAACTCATAGATCTACTTAAAGAAAGGAAGCTCAGTGATGGGGCCTGTGAGTGACATTATCATCGTCATTACTGTTAATTTTCTTCTTAGCATGTTCATAATGCTGGGCAATTTAAAATGCTTTATTATGTCCCGTCTCCATTTCCATTCTTTGTCCAGCCTTTCTCCTCCCCTTCTCCAGGACCTTGATTAGATTGATTTTCTATAGCAGGATCTGCCCTGGAGGCTAACAAAGGTTAATGTTTTAAACAAATTAAAGACAGCAGGACCTCCCTTTGTTTATAGTGAGTTGCTGGTGCAACTGGTCATTCAGGAACTGAGGTAAGTAGAAGTATAAAGCCAAACCTCTGTTAACCCATTGCTTCTCCCTTCTGTCATTCTCTTGGCCATAGTGGCTCCTCATGAATCTCCTTTTATTACCTACCCACTTCTGCTTCTCTCTTGTATACCTGGGTCATTTCTTCCTATTTAGCTTAGCTACAACTAATGCTATGGGTAATATATAACATTTATTAATAGATACTTTCTATGTCTTCAGACTAGTTTGTCCATTTCAAAATATTTTCCCATACATAAGATTTTTATTGTGCCATGGAAGGCATCATTTCTTCCACTTGGTAAGCGAATTAAGTAGTAGCAGGGGCTATGGTAACTTGTTGAAGATTTAGCAAGAAGGCAAGCAAGAAGATTCTTTTTTTTTTACCTTTAAGTATTTATTAGAGATACTATGAAAACCATAAATTACCCAGATGTGTTTCACACTGGCAAGAATCTTACACGTTTAACGGGGTTAGTTGGCTAATTTAAAATACATCCACTAAGGAAAAGAAAATGATTCTTCTGAGCTGGAGGTCTCCTGTAGCCTGAGTTAGAGCAGAACTTCCTCCAAAGTGCTAGGCTTACAGGCACGCACCACCATGCCTTGTTTAGAAGAAAACCATTACAATTTTTCAAAGAACATTTAAGGAACAAAGTAGACAACACATTTATCTTAATATGTAATTTTGTGTCATTGTCTCAAAAACATCTTGTTCAGTGGGTTAAAAAGGGTCTGTCCACTTTATGAGCGTATGCATACATATACTCAATGCAAAAAAAATTTTTTTGTTGTTTTTGTTTTTCAAGACAGGGTTTCTCTGTGTAGCTTTGCGCCTTTCCTGGGACTCACTTGGTAGTCCAGCCTGGCCTCGAACTCACAGAGAAGTGAGTCCAGGCTGGCCTCGAACTCACAGAGATCCGCCTGCCTCTGCCTCCCGAGTGCTGGGATTAAAGGCATGCACCACCACCGCCCGGCAATTTTTTTTTTTTTTTTTACAGTATTGTAAATCCCAAAGCTGAGGTGGCCCGGGTGCAGGCAGCGCTGGTGGTGAACATCAGCGTGGCGCGGGGCCTACAGGATGTTCTGAGGACCAACTTGGGGCCTAAGGACACCATGAAGATGCTTGTTTCTGGTGCTGGAGACATCAAGCTTACTAAAGATGGCAATGTGCTGCTTCACCAAATGCAAATCCAACACCCAACAGCCTCTCTAATAGCAAAAGTAGCTACAGCCCAGGATGGCATCACTGGTGACGGCACCACGTCCAATGTCCTTATCATGGGGAGCTGCTGAAGCAGGCCGACCTCTACATTTCTGAGGGTCTTCACCCCAGGATAATAACTGAAGGTTTTGAAGCTGCTAAGGAAAAGGCACTCCAGTTTTTGGAACAAGTCAAAGTGAGCAGAGAGATGGACAGAGAAACCCTGATCGATGTGGCCAGAACATCTCTGCGAACTAAAGTTCATGCTGAACTTGCAGATGTCTTAACAGAGGCTGTAGTGGACTCCATTTTGGCCATTAAGAAAAAAGATGAACCCATTGACCTCTTCATGGTTGAGATCATGGAGATAAAACATAAATCTGAAACTGATTCAAGCTTAATCAGAGGGCTTGTTTTGGATCATGGAGCACGGCATCCTGATATGAAGAAATGAGTAGAAAATGCCTACATCCTCACGTGCAACGTGTCCTTAGAATATGACAAAACAGAAGTGAATTCTGGGTTTTTCTACAAGAGTGCGGAAGAGAGAGAAAAACTAGTGAAGGCTGAAAGAAAATTCATTGAAGACAGAGTTAAGAAGATAGTAGAGCTGAAAAGGAAAGTCTGTGGTGATTCCGATAAAGGATTTGTCGTCATTAACCAAAAGGGGATTGACCCCTTTTCCTTACATGCCCTTGCAAAAGAAGGCATCGTGGTTCTGCGCAGGGCCAAGAGGAGAAACATGGAGAGGCTGACACTTGCTTGTGGTGGAGTAGCTCTGAATTCCTTTGATGATCTGAATCCTGACTGTTTGGGCCATGCAGGTCTTGTCTATGAGTATACGTTGGGTGAAGAGAAATTCACCTTCATTGAGAAATGTAGCAAGAAGATTCTTGAAATTCCATCTGTTTTGTTCCATGTTACACTGGCTTGTGCCAGTTCTGTACTTGAGAGATTCAAGACTGAGGTTCCAGTGGTTATTGTTTATAAATCCGAAACTGAAACAGACAGCTTTTTGGCTTATTCTTCAGGGAGAGGTACTTTGCTTAGTGGACTAATGTCTGATTGTAGAAAATTGGTTATGCACACTACCTTGCAGAAACGTTCACTGAAAGTAGATTGCTAGTTATTAAAGCAAGGCTGTTTTTGACTCATCATTTTGTTGACAATCCAGAGATTTTAAGATAGAAAGCTCAGCCTTTTCTGTTCCTTGACAATTTATATCATTTGATAGAGAAGCTAAATTGAATTAGATGAAGTCAGCTTACATTTTTAAAACTTGCTGTTTCAATCTAGATATACCTAGAAAATTAAAAGTTCATACACATGCCTCCCAGCTGTTCTGTTGTTCCTGCCTTAATTCCATAATCATCTGTTATTATCACCAGAAATGCCAGGCATCTTTCTTCCTCTTCTTCCTAAATTGTCAGTCCTCGAAAGAACACCCAAACCATGCCATAAATAATGACAAAAGCTTGTTACACAACCTAATACTTCAATGAAATTAAATGAGGGACAAAGAATAGAAAAGTGCTAGATTCATGCTTCTGGCAAGGGGAAGACTTACAAGTGACAATCTCATTCTGTACAGGAAGTGATTCAAACCCTTAAGGTAAATGGAATTGTCAGATCCTAAATGAATTGTGTGAATGATTTAGAAACTATTCAAAGAATGATTTAAGCAAAGTGCAATGCTTCAGTATTAGAGGAGTCCAGCCAGCTATCTATCTATCTATCTATCTATCTATCTATCTATCTATCTATCTATCTATAAAATATTCATTAATTGCTGTGATATACGTGTTGATGCATGCATGCAAATGCACGCACACACACACACACACACACACACACACAATTCAACCTACTCACACTGTATGTTACTTATTTGTATGTATGTTTTCAGGGATGACTATTTGGTCTTAAAGCTAAAATAGTAATATTTTTTCTTGTTAATTTGTCTGGCTACTAGTGAAGCCAAATTCATGGATCTAGTTGTAAAAGCCAAGCAGCTTCACTACAGTTACAACCACCTAACCCATCATTATGATATTGACCGATGAAATGTCTGTTTATTGTGAAGAGGACATATGTGGATGGGTAGGTAATTAAGAAGAAATTGTATCTAAAAAATATCTCAAAGCATATGCATATGCTCTACTGGTTTAGGTTAGTATGGTTCTTTTTGCATACATATGTTAGCACAAACTAGACTATCAGGGAGGCTTTTTTTGTAGCATGAATCTTGAAAGTTCTTATTAATAAAAACAAACCTGGAACTGGGTATTGGGGTGAATTCTGGAAGGTCAGAGAAGCAGAACAAGCAACAGCTACCTCACCTCTCCTCTTTCCGCAGACTGGAAGCCTCTGAGTCCTCATCCAGAATGAATCTCAGCTGAACTGCTACTCACAGCCTGAAAGCTTAACCAGGCAAAAGCTTCTAGTTTCTGGTCTTCACACCTTATATACCTTTCTGCTTTCTACCACCACTCCCTGGGATTAAAGGCTCACTTTCTGGGATTAAAGGTGTGAGTCACCATGCCTGCCTATTTCCAATGCGGCCTTGAACTCACAGAGATCCAGAGGGATTTCTTCCTCTGGAATACTAGGATTAAAGGTGTGAGTGCCACCATTTTCTAGCCTCTGTATCTAGAGGCTGTTCTGTTCTCTGACCCCAGAAAAGTTTATTAGTGTGCACAATATTTTGGGGAACACAATACCACCACATTTTGTTAGAAATTTTCTATCAGCTTTGAAGATGAACAACCAAGACAAAATGTCTCCTCCAGAAACCAATACCCCTAGTATAATATTTCCTTAGAAAAGCAACTTAGCTATAGCACCAGACAATGACTTCAAAATATAAATGTGGATATGTTTAAGGACGTTAAAGAGAATATGAATAAATGCCTCAATTAATACTGTAAAAACATAAAGAGTTGAATGAAATAATGAAAACACTTCAAGATATGAAAATAGAACTTAAGAAATAAATCAAATCAATAAAGAAAAAACAAACTGAAATAATACTCTAAATGGATAACCCAGGAAGTTAAACATAAACCTCAGAGGAAAGCCTTACAACAGATTAGATGAAGAGGAAGAGAGACTACTATCAGGTACCAAAGATAAGGTAGAAAAGTTAGATCACCCAGTCAAAGAAACTGTTAAATCTACCCAAAAATTAAAATTATAGGTATAAAATCTGGATGCTATGAAAAGAACAAACCAGCAAATAATAGGTATAGACCAAAAAAAAACCCTCTGGTCAAAGACAGAAAATATTTTGGGGGGCTTTTGTTGGGAGTGGGTTGAGATCCTCCTGCCTCTGTCTCTCTAGTGTTGGAATTAATGGCATATACCACCACCTCCCAGCTCTAGAAAATATTCATAACAAAGTCATAGATAAAAATTTCCTGAGTCTAGAGAAATAAATGTCTATTAAGGTATAGGAAGTATACAGAACACTGAACAGAATGGACCAGAAAAGAAATTCCCCATGACACATAATAATCAAAACACTAAATGTACAGAACAAAGAAAGGATATTAAAAGTTGCAAAGGAAAAAGACCAAATTACATGTAAAAGCAGACCCATTAGAATAACACTTGAGTTTCAATGGAGACTCGAAAAGCAAGTGACTGGAGAGATGATCTAGACACTTAAGAGACCACAGATTCCAGCTGAGACTATTATACCAACAAAACTATCAGTAGTAATTTAAGGATAAAGAGAAACTTCTCGTGATAAAAACAAATTCAAGGAATTTGTGTCTACCAACACAGCTCTACAGAAGATACAAGAATGGAAACTTTAGTCTAAAAATGGTTAACCCCACCAAGAAGACACAAGCAATAAATAACCTCAGGACAGTAAACCAAAAAGATTTAAAACAAAAATACCTCAACACAAAACAACATGAATTAATACACACTGTTCAATAATAATTCAATATTAACTGTCTCAGTTCCCTAACAAAACATGCAGACTGGCAGATTGGATTATAAAATCAGATCCATATTTTTGCTGCTTCTAATAAACCCATCCCACCATCAAGTGAACTCATTGGCAAGGGAAGTACTTTCTGAACAGGATCCCAGTAGTGCAGGCACTAAAACCAACAATTAATAAATGGGATCTCATGAAACTAAAAGGTTTCTGTACAGCAAAGGACACCACCATTTGAGTAAAAGGCAGTCTAAAGAATGGGAAAACATCTGTACCAATTATATAGCTGACAGAGGGTTTGTATCTAGAATATACAAAGAACCAAAAAAAAAAAAAAAAAAAAACCCTGAACATCAAGAAAACTAATAACCCAATTTTAGAAAGGGACAGAACTAAATAGAAAATTCTCAAAAGATGAAACACAAATGGCTGAGGAACACTTAAAAATATTCAACATCCATAGCCATCAGGGAAATACAAATTAAAACTACTTTGAGATTTCATCTTACATCAGTCAGAATGGACAAGTTTAATTAAACAAATTACAACAGATGCGATGGAGCAGAGAAAGGGGAAAACCTATTCATTGTAAACTGGTGTAGCCACTATGAAAATCACTATGGTGGTTTCTCAAAAAGTTGAAAATAGCTCTATCACAAGATCCAGCTATACCACTTTTAGCAGGAATACACAAAGGACTCTACATATTACTATAGAGATATTTGATCATCCATAGTCATTACTACTCAATAAAATCCAGAACTTGGAAAAAGCTTAGGAATTCATCAATTGATGAATGGAAAATGAAAATATGGCACATTTACAAAGTGGACTATTATTTAGCTGATAAGAAAAATGATATTCACAGGTAAATTGATGGAGTAAGAAGCAGTCATCATGTGCTGGCTATTTTTATATCAACTTGACACAAAACATAGTCATTTTGGAATAGGAAATCTCAATTGAGAAAACACCCCCACCAGACTGGCCTGCAGGCAAGCATGCGATGCATTTTCTTGGTTGATGATTGATATAGGAGGGCCCAGCTCACTGTGAGCAGTGCCATCCCTGGGCTGTTGGTCTGTGGTGCTGTAAGAAAGCAGGCTGAATAATATTGGAAAAACAAGCAAGCATTTCTCTTTCAGTCCTACTTCCAGGTTCCTGCCCTGACTTCCCTCAATGATGGACTGTGCTGTGGAATTTTAAGCATAAATAAACCCTTTCTTCCCTACATTGCTCTTGGTCACTTTTTAAAAATCATAGCCATTAAATCCTAATTAAGACACATGCTGAGTGAGGTAACCCACATTCAGAAAGACAAGCATTGCTTGTTTTCTCTCCTATTTGTGGATGTTAGTTTTTATCTTTTAGATATGTGTGATTAATTTAGAATACCCAAAGAAGTTAGGTAGTAAATGGCTTGGGGAGAAGGGAGAGGAGGGGATAGTCCAAGGAAGAAAAACCAGAGTATTGTTTTATAAAGGGAGAATAATTGGATGGAGATAGGAGGGCATGGTGGAATATGGGGAGGGATAATTGACACTGAAGGCCTTTAGAAAAGCCATATGGAAACCTACTCCTGTAGATGCTTCCTAAAATACATACACATACAAAAGACCCTCAAAGGGAGTTACTATAATGGCGGGTGGTGTTTCCCCAACTACATGTCATATGCAACTAAGGAAAATGTCCAGTTTGGGGAATAGATTATGTCTTCATTAATCATTGGCCCAAAAGGGTTCCTTAGACATCCCAAACACTACAGGCCATTGCCAATACTATTGTTACCCTCCAGAACTTGATAGTAAGATCCTGTTGTTAAAGGCAACACACTGTTATGTCACAGTATGTAGAGAAATCTAGCTGGTACTCAACTGGAAGCTTCACAGCTACTGGCTGGTATTCATAGTGCTGACAGACACATATACTACTGGAGGAGAAAAATAATTATCAATATCATCTAGCTACAAAATTTGCCAGCTACAATAATGACCTGTCTGCATGATATGCCTGCTCATACAATAGTGGAAGGCATTTTATGGGTGTAGCCAACCACTTATTTATTAGCATTAGTATCCACGTCATGAGATGGAACTCATACCCAACACTGTTAATGAGGCCAGAAACTAGTACATTATGGACCCTAGCTGAAAACCTATTGGATCTGAGTGCTATAT